GTAGGCCCGGCGCAGGGCGGCACGTCCAGGAGGGGGTCTACGAGGTAGGCCCGGCGCAGGGCGGCACGTCCAGGAGGGGGTCTACGAGGTAGGCCGGGTGCAGGGCGGCACGTCCAGGAGGGGGTCTACGAGGTAGGCCGGGTGCAGGGCAGCACGTCCAGGAGGGGGGTCTATGAGGTAGGCCGGGTGCAGGGCGGCACATCCAGGAGGGGGTCTACAAGGTAGGCTGGGCACAAGGCGGTGTTCCCAGGAGGGGTCCACAAAGTAGGCTGGGCGCAGAGCGGCGTCTCCAGGAGGGCATCCACAAGATAGGCCGGGTGCAGGGTGGTGTGTCCAGGAGAGGTCCACAGGGTAGGCTGGGCACAGGGTATCACATCCAGGAGGGCTCCACGAGGTAGGCTGGGCACGGGCAGCACACCCAAATGGGGTCCACGATGTAGGCAGGGTGTGGGACAGTGCTGGACCTCCTGGGGGAGGCTGGCTGACTGCTCCTGCTCACACCTGTGGACACACTTAATAATGCAAACAAGATGCTGTCAGAGGCTCACTATTGATGAAACAGGAACTTCAGGTGTGATTCCATGCTTTTGTTTGGCCGGTTTGTTCTTTTTGACCACGCTTAGAGAGAGGTGGTTGAAGCACCAGAGCGCGCTGTCTCCAGAATCACAAAGCGTTTGCTTCTTTCCCAGTTTCAAGGCAAGTGCAAGAGCAGCAGTGAAGAGAGATTCTGAATAACTTCCTTTTCAACAAGTGCTCTTGCCCCAGTAAAGGGACATGTCCAAGTATATGGGGCTCTGTGAAAAAATCTGGGGTCTCCCAGGTGTATTCCATGCCTTCTGTCTGCATCCCAACGGGAGGCCTAACAGTGGCTGTTCGATGACCCCATTTGTGGAAGGCTGGGGTCCCGATGCTGCATTGTCCTGGACCACCAAAACCCGCTTCCCTGTCAGCATCCATCAAGGAGAGCAGATGAGTAGGTTTAGCCAAGGCCATGGTGTCCTCCGTGTTCTTGTGTGTGTGTGTATATATATATATATATATTTTTTTAATTGTACTTTAGATGAAGGTTTACAGAAGAAATAGTTTCTCATTAAACAGTCAGTACACATACTGTTTTATGACATTGGTTAACAACCCCACAACATGTCAACAATCTCCCTTCTCAACCTTGGATGACCTTGGTTTTTTTTGGTGAAAATATACATAGCCAAAGTTACACCATTTTGAAAGTTTCTACATGTACAATTCAGTGACATCAATTACATTCTTCCAGTTGTGCTGCTATTCTCACTATCCTTTTCCAAATTATTCCATCACCATTATCTTCAACTCACTA